ACATGTATACTTGTAATCCATGGATCCAAATCGAACGACTTATATACTATTCGATTCGTCACAATGAAACTAATCGAATGATATAAAAATCGGTTGATTCGAATCGTCGGATCACGAGTTATAATAAATTCGCCGCGATAACACCTTTACTTATATTTCTTGTTTTTTTTTCAGTTTTGTTTAATTTACCAGGAAAGTAAGCTATTTAGTAACCGATTTTATCGGACGAATAGTCGGAATTTTACTCGTCGCAGTGTGATCGTACTGGTTCTGCGCCGCGTCACGTGCTGCGCAGCTACCCTAATTGAATATTTTGGCACCCTTAAAATATTCAAAATATTCAATATGGTGAATATAATGAATATTTTGAATATTCTGATCATTTTAAGAGTAACAAAATATTCAAAATATTCAGAATGGCAGACATTTTAAATATGAGGTCATAGAAATCACTGTGCTTATAATAAGCACGGAAAGTTATAAAAGCGCTCACTTTTCGCTTCAATAAAGATAACCCAGGTGAGTTGAAAACTTCGAACTCATAAATAGTAGAAGTTCGCTCTAATAGTTTTACCCATTCATCCTGAATAAATCGTTTCCAATATACCCTTGACCCCACGATAATATTAGTAAAAACCTTATCGATTGTTAGAGCGAAAGCAATCGCATTATATTCAAATAACCTACCCTTATATACTCGATCATTTTTGAGATCTATTTTTAGCACATAGTTCAGTAGTATAGTAACAATCGATTAAATTAATTGATCGAATGTAATTAAAGTGATCATCATAATTTCTCGTGACATAATCTACCCGTGACTCAGATAGTAAATTGAAGATCAGCACCGCCAATATCTCTTACCAGTGACTAACTGAGAGAATCTTAACGATCGTAACTATAGAAGCAGACTTATTGACGTTACTAGTTACGGCTCAATTGTGGTTTATTTTTTATAAATCGATTTTTTATATGGGCGTAACTAGGTGATGTCATAAGTCTGCATCTATAATCGTAACCGAATATTAAATCACAGATCACCGCCAGTAATCGTGATTACGTAACATGTGACCCGAAATAGGCGAAATAGATATTATTGAAGTATTAGTGTTAGAATTATTAAACACAACTAAGACAACTTAAGAGTCTGAAGAAGAAGACTCATCTCAGCCCCGGCAGCATCACTTTAAGGCCTAAGCTCTAAAAACTCGGACCAAGTCTTTCCACACCTTTATTCGAAGCCTTCACTTTAGAGTTTTGCTTTATTACAATACTTGTTGTTTAGTTAGTGTTTAGTTGTGTTCGTTTAGTGTTATTTATCCATCGCCTTATAAGTCATCACCTTCTCAACGTACGTACCGGTTTTTAAGTTTCCTTATAAGGCTCACATTGTATTTAACTAACGGGTTTACCACAGAATTTAGGCTTCCAAAATCCCGACACATAAGATCCAGATAGTACATAATCCTGTCAAGTTATAATCCCGAGATTTTGGTATTTTCTGGATTTTGTACTATCGGGATTTGAATGTGAGATTTTGTGCCGGATTTTGGATAAACAAAAAAGGAAATTGTACTCCAAAATCTTTATTAGTAGTGTCTATCGCTATATAACTTATTTGGTTGCATTTACTAAAAGGAATCGCCGATCAAATCGCATGTAACATACACACATATCACAGTTTTATATCGTTCAGCTCTTGCCAAATATTAAACTTTCTTCAATCACATACATACGTACATAGTGCGTTGGGGTGTCCGATATACCAATTAATCAAACTATGTCAGGTATTATAGTAAAATCCAATAGTGCAGATTTTTGCATAGATTGACAAAACCGTTAAATTCACTAGCGAATACTAGTATCCAAGAATTGATTCATCTCACGTACAAACTACATTTTTTGCATCAATTGATTGATACAATATATCAAAAAGAAATTACAGTTTAAGATTTTTAATTGCTTAAATATTTTAAATGTTGAACCAGTAAGAACTTCCTGTGATATATATTCAAACTAAGAATTTACATTGTAAAAGAAAATTTTAAACTGTAACTTTTTCTAAAATATTAACCTAATCGTTTTGTGTATAAATTGCTGGAGAAAGATAGTTGGCACGCGAGATGAATCAATTTTTAGAATACTAGACACTACTAGTAAATTTAATGATTTTGCCGATCTATGCAAAAAATCTGCATTACTAGATTTTTACTACAGTTTTGATAAATTAGAATATTGGAAGCCCCAATTGTAGTGCGTGCATATTACATTAATTGATAATTAATTTTGTGCCTAAACGTGCATCACATTAAAATTAATGACTGACTAATAACCTTCTTGCTGCGCATAACCGAAAACAAGTATACCACATTTTATTTTCCTAATATTATTGATTTGTTTTCTAAGTAATTATATGCCAGTCTGAAAGTTGTAGATCATTCGCAAAATAATTTCTTTAACAATTTCATTTTTAATAAATTGTCAAGTTTCACACAGCATATGTGCTTGGGTAGTTTTGAAATGTCACTCAATTTGAATATAATATTTTGAACTAATTAAATTTATATAGTGTCAAGCCAATATACCGAATATTTTGTAGGCTTTTGTAGGTGAATACAGCACGGAATATTCGTAGATTCTGAATCTAAACGACTTAGTAGAAAATAAGTGATATTTTAATAATAAAATATGCGATCTTTAGCTGCCTGGTACAAAGTGTCAAGCAGCATTTTATTTCGAATCGATCACGGGTTTTTGTGTGTAATTTTAGTGGCGTAATGGCGTAGTATTTTAATAATTATTAGTAGCAATATTTAAAGGAAACGGGCCTTTTTCCAGATAAGGTAATATCTGTTCTTTTCTGCTAAACCCACCCCTACTTACCTAACCAAGCGAAAATCCGGTAGTCTGTATAAAACTATGATTGATGACCTGTCGGGGTGTCATTGCTTGTGTTTTCAGATAAATTATTACCTGTCATGCGAAGTCATATTACCAGTCTTTGAAGCGATAGTGTCCTGTCTTGATGACGAAGGAATTTGTGTAAGCATAGTATTAGTCTAATTTTGGGAAGCATCGTAATCAATGGTTTTTTTTTTCACCTCGCTCTCTGTCAATAACACCTTGGCAGACGGTAGTTTTACGCATACTTTCAAATTCTGCACTGTTTATTGACAGAAATTTAAAACAAAAGGAAGTTCTTGAGCTAATATTTTTTTTGATTAAATTTAAATACAATTGCTTTAAATTCAGTTTAGCTATTAAAAAACATATATAGATCTTATTGTTTCGAAATTACTTAGCTACATAAAGTTTTGTCACACTCAAGTTTTTAAGATTTAAAATCAGGTTAAATTGATTCTTTTACAGATTTCCATATCCAACTGTAACATTAATCCACTTGAACATTAATCCTAACCAACCTATTCTACTTTACATTATTAGCGATGCGATGTCAGCATTACTTGATGACTAATATAAAACATATAAATTTTATTTTTGCGCTTATTATTATATATGGAACAATATCCTTATTTATATTGTATAAACTAGAAAGAATTCAAGAAACTGAAGAATCTTGATTTTGGATATTTCACTTAACAGGATACAGCTGATATCATTATTATTATTAAGTCCTGTGGTTTATTATTCATCATTCTGCATATATTAACTACCTCAATTATATTTTGTGTTTAAGATCTGTTGGTTAGCAAGAACAATCTTTACCATAAATTTCATACAGGCGAAACAAACCAAACACACTGGACATGCATTCAAGCGAAATCCAATTTTAAATGTGTTGATATCGCAATATTGCTCAGAATAAATAGCTATTTATTAAAAATATAAATCGTTATACAGTCAACACTCTCTAGGCGCAACCTTTCTAAGTGCAATTTCCCTTTAATTACAATATTAACTTCGGCCAATTATATGTTTCGTCTCTATAAATGCAATTTTTTTCTTAATTGTTCTCCAAATGCATACTGCATTGCTAAAAGTTCGGCCCAAATTAATTGCATTTAGGGAGAGTTGACTGCATATACTAATCACGCCAAAATCAACAGTTTATCAATGTCGGATCAAAAACTTATCGAATCAGCCAAATAATTGTTCTGTCAGTTTTTCACAAGTTGCCCTAAAATTTATGATAAGCAGTTGTAAATAATGTTCATGTTACCGAAAATTTGGCGAAGGCTGTTAAAAAACATATCCGCTTGCCGAAAAGCATGATAAACGAGCCAATTTTTGAGCGAAACGAACGTTTTTCTACCCAAAAAAAGGTGACACAAAAAAGGGTCGATTTAATTTTGTAGTCATTTTAAAAAAATAAATTGCAGCCTAAAGCTTGTACCTGTCTAAAAAAACTATATACTTTGTACAAAAGACGTAGATATATAAAAAAAGATTTTAAAAATTTTTTCTTTAAATTTATGCAATATATTGTCAAAAAACATTTAGCTTATAAAAAAGTGTGTATGTAAATGTATCCTTTTTGAGAAATAATCTCGATAACGTCAATGTGTAAAAAATACTATACAGCAAAGGTCAATTGACCAAGTTCGATTACAAATGAGAGTATTGTAAATTTATTTTCATATTTCTCATAATTTGAATTTACATAGTAAAGTAACAATATAAAATTACAATTTTATTTTATTATGACTACATATAGCTATTTAATAATGTTTGAGTATTTAAAAATCTTAATAGTAATTATATTATACATTAATTCTGTAAATAAAATTATATACTGTGTGCTTTAAATAATTAACAATAAGATATTTGTAATGATGTAGCCAATCCTTCAGAACCAGAACTAATAATCTTAATCAGTTGTTAATAATGTTTGAATGTGCTATTAATGAACAAAAACATACATAGATATATAATTTATATCCGTACAATTCAATTCTAAAATTTTTACAATTAAAAATTTAAAGTTCTAACATCATTATAGCTTTGACATTCTATTAACAGCTATATTAAAAAAAAAAAAACTATTCCAGAGATGATGAATTTATAATTTTTACATGATCATCTCTGTGTGGTTTAACATTTCCGATAGGTAAAGAAAAGATAAAACTCAATATAGACATGCCAACTATAAATTTAATTGCAGTATCCAAAGCTAATATAAAATTCTGAATTACAATATCAGGGACTTTCCCTAATATACTGATGTCATTTAGAGATAAATTACCTTGAAATTGAGATGGTAAATTTGAATAGAATACATTGTTAAAGACAGTTCCTAAGATAGCTACACCAAACACTGCACCGACTTTTAAGAAAAAAAGAAAGAAATAGCGCATAAGTTATCTAAAAGCTTGAAGCTTAATGATAATAAGAAAAAAAAAATGGTATACACATAAACTTTTTACATACTTGTTCTGAAAAATGCTAATAATGAAATAACGCTAGCAACGTCTTTATGTTCCACTATTTCTTGTCCAGCGAATACTGTAGTTTCGGTGATTAAGCCAGCACCAATACCAGCAATGAATAAGTAACAAATTATTAGACTTTTATTAGTATATTCAGAAAACGTGCTAATTAATCCAGTCCCTATGGCCATTAAAATGCTTCCAAAGGCACAAATAAAACCATAAGAAAAATAAGTAGTTCTTGAAACTAGTTGGCCAACAAACATAGGAGCAAAGACTAAACCTAATACATAAGGAAGAAGTTCTAAACCTGAAGTCGTCGCTATGGGATTTTTAATAATATAAATACTTAATTCAGTATTTGGATATAATAAAAATGTTAGGGATGATTGGATATATACATACCTGATTCAGATTTTACAACTTGAAAATAAAATGGTACAAAATACAATAAAGCAATAAATGCCATTCCATGAAAGAGATTTATGCTGAAGCAGGCAACTATTTTAAGATTTTTGAACAAACGACCTAATAAAATTACATATACCAGGATGTTAATAATAATAATAATAATAATTGTAATAATAACAATAATCAGTGAACAATAATAATGCTGCCAAAACCAAAAATGCTTACCAGGTGCAATAGGATCTTTAGCAATCTTTCCTTCAATAAAAACGAATAAGACATATCCAATGCAACCAAAACACAATAAAACTATAATAATAGGACTGTTCCATTCTAAAATTTAAAGATAAAGATTAAATGCGTGGTCAAGAGTATGGTTGTAGGTGTAATAAATGGTATAGTCAAGAAGGTAAGTATGATTAAATTAATATAAAACAAAACATACGATATTTTGAACCAGCCCAATTAAGTGATAGTAATAAAAGAATAGTTGAAACAACTAAAGTGAAAGTGCCCCACCAATCAATGAGCATAAGTTTTTCCCAAAAAGAGTTGGAAGATTTTGGAAGGTGTAATAGAAAGACAATAGAGATAAAAGTAATAACACCTAAAGGAAGATTTATAAGGAATGCCCATCTAAAACAATATTAATTATAAAAAATACTGTAAATTTATTTAAATAAGTTTTATATAAACACAAACCTCCAGGAGACTTTATCTGTAAAAGCACCACCTAATAATGGACCTACAACAGACGCTATACCAAAAATGCTACCAATCATTCCTTGATATTTTCCACATTCCTGCATTGGAACTATTTCCGTAATAATAATCATTACAAGCCTGAAGAATACAATATTGATAAAATAATCAGTACAAGTTTAGAGTATTTGATGTCAATAAAATAAGATTTAGTTAATATTTTTAAATTCAAAGAGAAAAAAAAACCTACCCATAAAGACCACCTCCGCTAAAGTTAAAAATTGTTTAATGATTTGTTGTATAAAAATACGAATTACAGAGACCTCTCCAAATGCACCTCAGTGATCAAATTCTATCATCTGCACTTAGAAAAAAATATGTAAAGTGTATTTATAGGATCAAGCAAATATATTTTAGTCCAGATTTTAAGAGAGGTCTCTGTATCAGGTAAAATTTAAATTAAAGTTAAAGAATTACCCTAGACCTGCAACAGCACGCGATATTATTAGCATGCACTATAAAAAAAAATCATTGTTAAATTAGAATCCAATAATAATAATAATTTTGAAAAATCACCTAAAATTTATTATATACCATATTAGTGGATAGGCCGCATAAAAGAGTACCAAGTTCTAATAAAAATATTGCCATAAGAAATATAGGTTTCTGTATTAAAAGAGAATTTAAATTCTTTTAAAATATCAACGACATTAATGATAATGCTAAAAAATAAAAAATAAACCCACTCGACCAAATATATCTGAAAGCTTGCCATATACTGGCTGAAAAGCGGCCTAATGGAAATATAAATTTCATGTAAGAACAATAAAGGTAATTAACAAAATCATCAGATTCTATCACTTGATAAAAGTTAAAAATTAAGACTACATTTGCACATACATACCGTAGTAAGTAAATAGGCAGTTCCAATCCATGAGACTTCATCAAGAGATTCAAATTCTATCGCTATGGCTGGTAAAGTTGTGGTAACTATAGTTTGATCTAAAAATACTAAAAATATAGAAAATGAAAGACTGTGCATTCAAATAATTATATTAACATTTTAATTTTTAAACTATTTTAAAATTTGATCAGAAATAGTACCTAATAAAGACTAGTAAAACTTTAGTTTTACTCATTTTATAATTCGGGATGTTATTTTTAACATCATCCGTAGATATCGCCTCTGTAAAGGTTTTTTCTGATATCGAATTTCTACATTCTTCTACTTCTACTATAGTTAAAATGGATATGTCTCTTTTAAATTCAGAAGGCACTTGACGTTTATTTTCGTCTTGAACCATCAAATAATTAAAGTATGATATTGGATTATAAAAATAATGCCCTAACGTGAATATAGAGAATAATGAGAACTAGTGTAAGAATTTTATTTACTATAAATTCGAAAAAAAAGGTAATTTTTACGTAATTATCTTATATCAAATTTTTTATTTAATTGTTATACATTTTGTGCATATCATTACAGCATTACATTATTATCGTTCATTGGTAACGGTTAAATTATTGGTATAGAAATTAAAATTGTTTGTTTGTTACTTGAACTTTCATGCAGGGTACCCGATTTAGCATTAATACGTTATATCTATAATAATTATTAAAACAAATTTAATTATTCTTTAATAGCAAATAACTTCAGAATCAGTCAGTGTTAAAGATTGTCTACAAAATGAAATGTCTATAAAATGAACAGTCTAAGAAATGAACTGTCTGTAAATTAATTATCTTTAAAATAAACTTGTCCACGAATTGAATGTCTGTGAAACAAGGTGTCTGTGAAATAAACTTCTACGAGGTGATACGTACCCAAATTACGCCAAACAGATAATCAAGTAGCACATTAAAAATCTTATTTCTTAAATTATCGACTTAATTCACACTTTATCGATGTTAATAATCTAGGTTGTGTTGGCATTTTGTTTAGACTTTTTTTTGCCGAATTTTCGGAATTTTCCGGAGACTTGCCTTATTATTCCGGAGAATTTCGGAGTAACAAGCCAAGTGTTTTATTTGGTCTAAGCGCCTTATGTCCAATAGCTGAATAGAAAAAATATGGACAACAGTCCATAAATGTCCATGTCCATAATTTGCCAACACTGGATTTATGCTTGTTATTTTGTCTTTATATAAAGTATAATTTGTGTTTTGTACCGTCGATCTCAAGTTTGTAAATGTGGTTTTTACGGTGTACCCAAAGTGACATGTTTTGTGATTTAGTGTTTTAGTGTTTTAATGTTCTAGTGTTTTAGTGATTTAGCGTTCTAGTGTTCTAATATGATGGATCTACATAGTGTATAAGTTGTGTTCTTGATGTATATATAAAATAATAACTATAAATGCAACAAAAAAAGTAGCTTTAAAAATATTTCCTAATATAGTAATAAACCCGATTGGTGTTTGTGTTAGCATTTGTGTTCGTGTTTGTGTTCTAGTGTTTTAGTGTAGTTGTTTAGCGTTCTAGTGTTTTAGTGTAGTTGTTTAGCGTTCTAGTATTTGTGTTCTAGTGTTTTAGTGGTTCAGTGTTCTAGTGTTTTAGTGTTATAGTGTTTTAGCAATCTAGTATTTGTGTTCTAGTGTTCTGGAATTCTAGTGTTTTAGCGTTCTAATATGCTAAATCTACATAGTGTATAGGTTGCGTTCTTGATGTATATATAAATTAATAACTATAAATGCATTAAAAAAGTTTAAAATATCTTATATATACATCAAGAACACACCTTATGCACTATATACTATATTAGAACACTAGAACGCTAAACACTAGAATTCTAAAACACTAGAACTCTAAAACACTAGAACACTAAAACACTAGAACGCTAATAAGTAGCAATGAAAATTTCATTTTGCAATATTTTCAAACCGTTAAACATGCCGAAATATTGATATAAGAGATCCTTCAATTAATAAAGGTTTTAATGTTCTATCTGTTACTTTTACCGGATCAGATTTGCAATTTTAGGTTATGTAATCTATTCGTTTGTTGAATTTTTTTTTAAAGCTTGTCGATTTCGTTCACTTATTTTAAACTCCTGAAAATGAACGGGCAATGAGTCGAATTGTGGGAGACGGTAAGGGGTATACGTAATAAAAATACCCTGATCTGTATGTGTACAAGCGGAAACGAAGTTCCCGCTCATACCCAACTACTCAGATATTTTTATTACAAACAATCTAAAAAAATTTAATTATAATTTAAGTATGGTATAGTATGTATATTATTAAATAAAAATTAAAAAAAAATTAAACAATAAATTGTTATTTCCGATTGATGAACTATCATAAAAAAGAGGAGTAAATCATACTTCGAACCTTCAATTTTATAATTTATTTTTATTAGATTTGGCCAGCATAGGTGAAGATCTCTGTGATTGGTCAAAATTTTAAACTATAATTTATATAGGTACATATATAGATATGATAGACGTTTGCTAAATTTTGCATAGAATCGTGGTACAATGAACTTCTTTGCATAAATACCTTCGTTTGTCTGTTTTATAAGTGTTCGCTAAAGTTAATCCAGTAAAAGGGTGTTAATCCATTTCAATTCCACAACATTCACCTGGCCATTTGTTTGCTTAGACTAACGCCATTTACT